CTTGAGAGGGCCCATTTCATGCCCTAGAGGGCCTGTTTGAGGCCAGAGAGGGCCCGTTTGAGGCCAGAGAGGGCCCGTTTGAGGGCTGAGAGGGGCCCATTTCAGGCATAAGAGGCACCATTTCAGACCTGAGAGGGCCCAGTTACGGTATGAGGGGGCCCTTTTCGACATGATAGGGACCATTTCCGGGCTGAGGGGGCCAATTTCAGGTCTGAGAGGGCTAATGTCAGGCCTGAGAGGGCCCATTTCAGGCCCTAGAGGACCTACCTGAGGCCTGAGAGGGGCCCATTTGAGGTCTGAGAGGGCCCATTTCAGGTCTGAGAGGGCTAATGTCAGGCCTGAGAGGGCCCATTTCAGGCCCTAGAGGATCTATTTGAGGCCTGAGAGTCTACTTCAGGCCTGAGAAGGGCCCATTTCAGGTCTGAGAGGGCCCAGTTCAGGCCTAAGAAGACATCCCAGGAATGAAAGGATCATCCTACGTGTGGGAGGCTCCGTACTCCGTGCCTGGTCTGGGTCTGAGAGGGCCTACCCCAATCCTGATTGAGCCGATGTCATGTTTGATATAGGTAAACTCACCACATGTATATTGATGGCCCAGTTCATGTCTAATGGGCCCATCTCAAGACTCAGAGATTTTATGCTTCAGGAAGCCTACCCCAAGCGTGAGGGGGCCCATAGAGGTTTTTGAGGCTCATGGAGGTCAGAAGCGGCGGAACACCTTCAATTAAGGGGGGGGCAGGGGCGGCGCCACGGGTTTTCGATAGGGGGGGACGGGGACCGAAACTCGAAAATCCCAAAAGTAGATACTGATCGTGTATGCAAAAAAAAAACGAGGCACGTAACGCCGCGAAACTTGGCAAAGCCCAAAACACATCGAATGGTGCATCCTGTTTCCAAACTTATCCTAGGACACCTAAGATCGATCACCTTTTCCAGCATCCTTGCCTCTAAATCAAAATTTGCAGTCTTGCCAACTCAAAGCTGGTTTCCTACAAGCTGCGAATTGCTTAGGTATGAGTAGCAGTGCCAACTATTCTTACGTTTCGTACTTTCAAATTTTCGATCTTACGTCTGGTCAGCTTCAGGGCTTCACCATTATATAGTCATGGAGGAAAAGTGGGAATGTCTTCTGCTCTGACAAGTGCGCCAAAACTGCAATATAATTTCAGAATCATGACATCACCACCTGATCCATATGCAACGGGCAGGGTGCAGCTAATGGCTAGCCGTCAGTGCCCAGTGGTCATGTCATCGGTGGGCACTGAAAAGGTCATGCTAGGTCATGGAAGGTCACCAGCCGTTATTTGATCACACTTTCTGATGGATTTTACTAGCCAAGAGCTTCGCGGGAAAAACGAGCGCATGCACCGTTGAAAAAAAAAGAGTGAAAGGGTCTCAGGTCCGGCGACCTCTGCAGGTGAAATGCCCCAGGGTAGGATTCCGGTCCTTGTTGATTAACTTCGTCAAAAATGGCAGTAGAGCTGTGATGTCGGCACCATTGTGTTCGTCATGATCGAGCTGGCACGACCTGTATCGTTCTCATATTCACTCTCCAATCGTAACAACTACCTATACAGCAGGGATTGGCAAATGGCGGGGTACACCCTTTGGGAGGTAATGAAGGTCTCTGGAAACCTCATCCCTCATCTCTTTAGCATTAGTGGCTCTCCTTATGGAACAGGTTTCTTGACTGGTCTGTTTCACCCCAGAATTCAAAGACCAGTCAAGGTAAAACCGAGCGCACCACAGTGAGCACAATTTGATAAGCTGGGTTATCTCAATTTTCATGTAGAACCTTTCACGTCTCACGTACCTAAAACCCTTTCGTGCACTCATGCAAAAGCAACTGCCATGTTTCAACAGCTGGTAATGGCATTTTCACAGCCGCTGACGTAAGAAGGGGAGGGGTGGGGGGCTCGATTAGACCCCCAGCCGTTCGGCCGCCGACCGAACTTAGTTTTGCAGAAAAAAACGAGTGCTATCGAACCCCTTGACGAGAGGGAGCCGATGCTATCCAATTATATGGTCTTGTGCTACTGCGTGCTTTTTTGGTCCTGCCTGTGATCTATCCGAACACTTCTCCCCACAAGTGCTGGGGTTAAATGGCATAGATTTCAAATGGTTCCTGTGGTAGAACTGCCATGCTTGAATTTGACTTATTAGGAATGGAAAATATCCATATAGTAACGGAAATCTATGGAATTTCAGTGAACTTGATTTTGTCGGCAATGGGGTCTGGCAGTGGGGTGGGGAGGTAATAACCCTGCCTGGCGCCCCAAAAAGGGGGGGGGCACGATCCCCGAGGCCCTGCCGATTACCTTATAACTACAGGCATCACAGCTCCACACCTTTTGCAGATGGCCAGGACCCCCTGCGATACATCCCAACAGCAATCTTATTCAGAATCTGCCTTGATTAACCAACGATGCATTAAATGCGACGGATAACTCTACAATGCATTATTATCAACAACTGAACGGGCCTCGCCGACAGGGGGGTACTGTACCCCCCTAACTTTCGATAGCGGGGGACCTGTCCCCCCCGTCCCCCCCGGTGGCGCCGCCCATGGGGGGGGGGGGCACTGCCGACTTTTGGTCCCATTCTTTCCATGCAACGCCCATAGGGCTAATGTTAAAATGCCAAAATCAAAGGGGGGCACGGTGTCCCGGTGCCCTCCCCGTTCCGCCGCTTATGATGGAGGTCCCGCAGTACGACATATGTCAGCCTCTGAGAAAGCCATGCAGGGCCCTGCCAAGCCGATATCTGAAAATCTTCTCCTCAGGCCTGTGCCTGCCTCATCGCCCGGCCCCACCCCGACGTCTAGGGGTTTGACGACTAGATATTTATCAGGACCCCACACCGGTCCATGATGGCTCCAAACTGACACCTGAGACTCCTGCACCGGCTTTTGAGGGGGCCCACCGACCTCTGATAGCCACCACGCAGGCCTCAAAAGACCATGTCGATTGTCGATATCTAAACCCCGAAGTCTTGGAAGGCCTGTGCTCTATGCAGATTCTTGAGGGCTTTACGTGGGCTTGTAAATATCCCAAACTGGCTCTAGCCTAGCTCGACCGCGCCCCGCAGAGCAGGGCCCCAGGCTTTCCAGTTTTACGCCCCTGAGGGGTGTTTGAATATCCCCTTCTAACCTGACTCCAGGGTCACGCAACGACAAGTGCGGCGGTAGGCGGCTTTCTAAAGAGCGTCGAAAATCATGGAGAAATTGCTTCAGTCATATTGCAGTTCAGACCAAAGCACACGTCATCATGTTCATCGAAGGAAAAGTTTCGCCTATTTGGACACTCGGGGACATAAAAAGCTATAGCGCGCTGAAAGTGGGTTCGATAGCTCTCTAACTCGTGCAATCAGCCATGGGGGGGGCGTATCGGCCAAACCCGATCATGATTTAAGACGGCTAGAAAGACGAGCAAAGCAACGGATAGCTATAGGATGCTTCAGAATCGTAGAGGTCATTTTTCGATTAGGCCATCGCTGAGGTCATTGAAGATGAAATTATGATAAAATTATGATAAACACAAAGACAAGATTACGACGAAAAAATTCTTGTTTTTATATTTTTCACAATGATAACCGTAACTCGTGAACCAAAGAGCTGCTAGCTTTGCGGAACAGCTCATTCGATAGGCCTTTCAAAACGCTTTCGCTTTTAAGATTTGACCTCAGTGCCTCATGTCAATGGTTTGACAACAGAGCAGAGGGTAAAACGGCAAAACCATCTAAATAGTCGCATTTTACCAAAACAGTTTTGCTAAGAATTTTTGCAAGGACTTTGGTGAGAAAAACTATGGGACAATTACTTTGTCATCATTCTCTTGTTAACATGCATCGAATGAGCTACCTATAATTTCACATAAAAAGTTCAACTTCAAAATGTGACCGCAGATCAAGGTCATGCCCTTACTTGAGAAGTTCATGGTGGTCATCAACCGATCCGTATGGATGATTAACACCTTCAAGACAATGTCATAACTCTACCTCCTCTCCTATATCAAAAGTAACAGTCGAAAAACTGATGTTGGGCTTTTTTAAAAGCCTTTTGACCTAGCCCGACCCTTTGAGTGGCCGCTGGCCATCAATTGCACGCTGTCCATCAAATATGGGCAGAATGGTCGTGTTTCTGTAAATATGCTGTTGTTTTTTTACGTGCCTCTTCAGATCAAGAGATATTTGTCCTTTTCCCCGATTTGACTGGTAGGGTAAGGTGCCTAATTAGCGACCCCCTTAATTTGAACCGTCATTGCTCACGCTCTGTGGGTGCCACTGTGTTACTGGCTTGATTTTCGGAGAGATCGTTCATTTTTCTATTAAAATATAGTCATTTTCTGCCCCAATATTCACTAACTTATTTGTAGTGAGCATTTTGGCAAACCATTGCAAAAAACGCTAATAGGGAACTCTTCCCGATTAGCGACCGGGGAGGGTCGCTAATAAGTCTATGGGTTTCCCCACATTAAAAATGACAAAAAATGCGACGCCTGAAAAGATGAAATATGATCTCAACAAGTTAACCTATACCTACGCAAAGCACTCAATCACTGGAACAGGAACGTTTATCCAACACATTTACGTAAGTAAAAACTGATCACGTGATTCACCGAAGGCGAAAAGAAGGCGGAAACCCAAATTTTGCGGGCTATCTTGTATGATATTCGAGGTCCGCGCTGAATTCGGCACCCCTAAAGTCGGTGACGACATTTGGCATCCTCTGCCACACATTGCAAGCTTCAGCAACACCTCATTTTCATTTCTCTCTTTTCCCCTTTCTTTCCCTTCATGAGCTATTTGCGACCATGTCAGGCGCAAATAGGAAATATGAGTTGCGACACATTTTTAACCGACATGCTGTGCACAGTTGAGCGATTCACTATGGGAAAACGGCAATCAATTAAAAAATGAATGTCGATTCAGAATAAAAAAGGTGCATCATCCTAATGTGCATCGCTTTTCATCAGAGAGGGCCCAAACACACACGTTTTGGATAAGAAACTCGTCATTTTTATTTAAACTCACCTGAAACGTCTCACCAGAAACATCGACGACCGGAAAATAATTTAATTTGATAACCAAAGTATGGCTGACCTTTTGACGATGTTTTTACCCCGTTTTCTCCTGCCAGTTTTTCTGTAGGGAGGTAGGTCGCAAATCGGAAAGGGTCGCTAATTAGGCACTTTACCCTAATGATGACAATGATCTGAACTTTCGTTGTTGGTAAGGGGCCCCCATTTGGTTGAGGGGGGCCCACTTTGCTGGGGGGGCCCATCGCGAACGTCTCTCACCCCCGTCGCCATCCTTGACTAATTCGAAAGTTATTCGAGAAAAACTCTCTCCATATCTAGCGCCGCCATTACGACTTTTTTACCCCTGTGACATCATCTTTGACCTGACCTGAAAATGACCTTAGTACCTAAAAATTGTAGACCTTGTCCGTGCGTATCCGATGCCGTTTACCGCTTGTCGCTATCTTGCTTCGTTCTCGAGATCTCAGGGGGGGGGGCGGTCATCCGCCCGGGGGGGGGGGCGGATGACCGCCCCCTCCCCCCGTCGGTACTAAGTTGGCGCAGACCCCCGTCGGTGCGCGGGTTAAGTCCGAGCTACTAAGACTGCCTCCTCATTCACCGGCTGCTCAACACAGAAAATGCGCCCCTAAATCTGAAGGCTCTTTTAGAGTATCGAGCGGACGTGAGCGAGCGACATGCACGCGTATCCGCTGGTTCCGCTCTGCAGACGCGGAGATGTAAGTTGGAGGCGACGCGCCGGTTTATACCGCTGCGATCGATCCAAGCGTGGAACGACCTCCCCACCGACCTACGGAGGGAGGCGTGCGTGAAACGATTTAGAAATCGAGTCCGAGAGGTGATACACTCCCCAACATAGACCGAAAGGCGAAAGCCGAAGCAAATCGTTCGTCTAATCAGCGCCGAGTGTCATCTAACGGTTTTAACATCACTTGTAGGCAGTTATCATTTTTCCATAGGTACGCGGATTTCATCAACCATTACTTTCATGTCTATTTTTACATTGTACAGCGTCACGTTTGTCTTGTCCTGAGTCTGACTCTGTGGTGAGAGCCAAATATGTTTCAATTAGAAACCACAACGATGCGCAATATATATGCACATATGTACAATACACAAACTTTATACTGCGGTTCATCGGAATTTCGGTAGGTACTTAGGGCCAAGGGGTAGGTACCATTTACGTCGCCTTCTGCTTTTTTAAAACTTCCGTGAATTATCATACACTTACGTTCACTGGCAGGGCCAAGGGACGGGTAGCATTTATAGGGCATTTGCTCCGTTCGCAGCGTCAAAACTTGGCAAAGTTTCGCCGTTTCCCTTGCATAAGAAAATATTTTTTTTATGTATGAAACTTTTTTAGCTGCATTGTGAGGCATAAGTAAGCGAAATCCAAGAATGTGTTTGGATATTGGAGAACCTTTGTGTGCCTCCCATTATTTCTGGACTTGCCAGTGCTTTCATACGTTTGCATGAACTCAGCAATCGTGTCGTCCGTGGTTTCCTGGTCTGAACATCCGTGTCATCCGTGTAATTTCCTCGACTGAACAGTGAACGGACGTGCCCCTCAGTGTAGCCGTCCCACCGTATTTCCCATTGGCTGAACTTGCTCTGCGTAACGATTACGCGTAAAATCCGATAAAGCACCAAACATACAAGTGATTTCCTGAATTATCACGCAGAGCACAGCATGGCCCAAACAAACCTCATTGATATGTGAGAGCGGAAACTACCACGCATGGGATTTGGTATAGGTAATTCATATATTCAAAGTATCTGAAGTATGATAGCATTTTGAAGTTATCAAGGCCAACATTCCATTAAAATGAATTAATTAAATGTGTCCGGTAAAGCGCCCTAGACGACAGCACCCATGATGGAGGCACGCAGAGCTGCGGACGGCCCAGCGGCTCCGTGCTGTCGACTCCTGGTGGGTGGCGCTGGATCCCGCGGCTCCGTGCTGCCGACTCCTGGTGGCGCTGCAGATCCAGCGGCTCCGTGCTGCCGACTCCTGGTGGCGCTGGATCCCGCGGCTCCGTGCTGCCGACTCCCGGTGGCGCTGGATCCAGCGGCTCCGTGCTGCCGACTCCTGGTGGGTGGCGCTGGATCCCGCGGCACTCCTCCCCTACGCACTGTCGGTGAAGCCGACCTGCATGTTGTCCATGTCGTAGGCGGCGTAGAACTGCTGCATGAACAGAGTGCCGACCGTAATGTCGGCGGGAGGCACCTCGGACAGGCCCACAAAGCCCGACAGACACAGGCTCTCGCCGCCGGTCAGCGGGATGACAACCGTGTACTGGCGGGGGCTCATCTGCAGCGAGCGGCCGGCGATCACCAGCTCCAGCGGCGGCAGCGCGTCCAGGGTGGCGCAGTCGAGCGCCGCCACGCCCGGCTGGCCGATGTCCGTGCCGCCCAGCGCGTCGTTGATGGTTTTGGCCATCTGCATGGTGAGGAAGAAGTAGGGGCTGACGGAGGTGGCGCCCACCCGGCAGTCGGCGGCGCACACGCTCACCTGGCCGACGGTGACGCTCTCGGCCGACACCATGTTGTCCACGATGGGCGTCCAGGTGAGCGGGCTGGTGTAGCGCTGCTCGTTGATGCCGCCCAGGGTCAGCTCTCCGCCGACGCCGTCCCGGCCCAGCCAGATGCCGGCCAGCCGGTCGGCGATCACTCCCTGCTCGGCCAGGGCGTCCAGGATGGACGGCGCTGCCGGACTGAAGCCGAGACCGAGCACGCCGTCGTTGGGCGCGTCGGTCGACCACTGGTTCCAGACGGACGTGGCCTCTCCGAAGAGCACGTCGCTGACGGTGGCTCCACCCAGGCTCACCGAGTCCTTTGAGAGCACGCCGCTGATGTTCAGCCCTCCCGGGAGGTCGAAAGGAGTGCCGTCCTCCTGTGGAAGACCGTCAGTTTACATCACAAACAAAAACTGCGACAGCGAAGTGTTGTAGCCACAGCAGGCTATGACAATGTAATAACTGCTACTTTAGCACATTTAGTAGACCTCAACTGTTTATCGAGAATGTATGTACGTTAATCATCACAGCTCTAATCACAGCTAATAATCATCATGGCTCCTGTTCCGGCCCGACGGTCGCCATCGCCCGATCGGAGCGGCTCCCATCGGTGCGCGTAGCTCACTGCTGTATGTACGGTTCGGTGACTGCACTGAAAACAAAATGACACAAAAAACGACTAAAAACGCACAGGCAGAGCGTGTTAACTAGGTTTTCTTGTGTACCCTGCATCATGCATTTTTTGACCCGTCGCAGACGTGTCAATTTACAAATGTGTTAACCCAGTCGTGTTGTGTCCTAAAACACAATATCATTGTGTCTTCAACACATACCTAAGGCTTGTGTGAATACATTTGCAGAATACAAGGTAAATGTGTTACTAAATTTAACACAAATCGCAAGTGAAAGAAGGAAACACGTGGTTATTATGTAGTTTGTTGCCGGGGCGCAGTTGAAGGGACTTTGGCTTTGGCTTGACAGGCTGATTGCCATAGCCGGGCCCCGAGTGGAATCGGGCGCATGGGTGCGGTCAGGGCTGAGCAACCGGCCGGCCGATCCATACGGTCAGGGCGCGGTCAGGGCTGAGCACGCGGCCGGCCGACCCATACGAGGCTGCCGACCCATACACGAGGAGGAGTTGAGCCCGGTCGGCCACTTCACAGCCGAAGGGTGAACGCGTCACGTGGACGGCTCAATCAGGGCACCAAGTGACGATGCCCCAAATTGGAGGACTATTGCACAATACAGTTGTCCAGACAGCCGGGATAAATTTTCGGGCTTTTTTTCATTTCATTTGTTTTAGGGCATTTCGGTCAAAATGACCATTGCATGCCCATTTGTGAGGAGCAATATATTAATTTACGTCATGGAGTTTTCGTCTCAGTTGCCAAGTTAAAGTTTATCGAAGATTCTAATTTCACGGAGATAAGAGAAGAGGAGTTCGATCAATTCTTCTGAATCACCGAGGACGGAACCCAGGGTGAAAGTCATATTCTTCCGGTTGCAGTATTCAATCATCCGCCTTCTTTCATTGTCAAATTTTCTACAATCGATGATGATATGTATGACAGTTTGTGCACAATTGCATATTGTACACCAAGGACGAGCATCTTTAGTGTAAATATAACAATGTGTGTATGTACCTTGTATGGCCCAATCTCATTCTAGCTAGTACCTTTTCTTCATATCTATTGTTCCGCTTAGCTGTGTGCCATATTTCGATTTTTTGTTTTATTTGCTTGAGTTGTGTGTATTGTGTTACTTGTGTCCACTGCTCTTGCCATGCTTTGAGCACTGCCTGTCTAATAGCTGCTTGTATTGATTGATAATCAATGGGAATGTGTGTGATAGTTGAAAGGGCCAATGCTTTCTTTGCGTATTCGTCTGCTTTTGTGTTTCCATGGATACCACTGTGACCTGGAATCCAAAGAAAGTTAACGCATTTTCCATTATTTGATAATGTGTGCAGTTTGTTATAGATGAGTATGAGAATATGAGATGACGGAATGTTCACTTGTAAGGACTGAGCTACTGATTTCGAATCTGTGCAAATCATCGTATTTATCCAAGGTCTTTCGTCAACTAAATAAACTGCTTTTAAAACTGCATGAAGCTCCGCTATGAAAGTTGTTGTGCCATCTGGAAGACGAGTTTGTATGGAAAAGTTGTTTTCGGGGTCATATACAGCATTGGAAACATGATCACCAGATTTTGAGCCGTCGGTGAAGAGGAAATGGAAAGTCGAGTGTTCGCGCCGCAACAGATTAAATTTATGTTGTATCTCGTTGTCTGTAACAGTGACTTTTGGACAATCAAGAAGAAACGAGACCTTCCAAGACCTGTCTACCCACGGAGGGGTGGAAAGCAGCGGTAGTTGAGGAATGCTTGGCCGAGTGAAGTTTATTTCGGAGCAGAACTTCTTTATTCTGGATGCTATTGTGAGGCCGGATCTTCGTTCCGCTGGACCAAGATAATTGTGGTGTATTGACGGTAATGTCTTAAGTGCATTAAAAGCATTGTGGTTTGGGTGTGACATGATTTTACTTGAATATCGCAATGTTTGTTCGATGCGTCTGAACCGCAACGGTGATATGACTGCTTCAACTTGTAGCGATGAAATAGTAGAAGTTTTCATAGCACCAATTGCGATTCGAATAAATGCATTTTGTATGATATCTAGTTTTTTCATTGCACCTTCACATCCTCCTGCATATACCGTGCAACCATATTCTATGATTGGTAGTACTAAGGATTTATACAATTGCAGAAGTGTTCGGCGATCAGCCCCGAAATCGGCGCCAGCTACGCATCGGAATAAATTCATTCTTCTATTGCATTTTGTTTTCACATATGCTACGTGTTTCATCATTGATAGCCTATTATCAAGAACTATTCCAAGGTATTTGAATGAATTTACCCGCGGTATTACATGTCCGGATAAACGCAAAGTACATTCTTCTAACATTCGATTGTTTTTTGTATATACCATTACAGCAGATTTTGTAGGAGAAAAAATGCAGCCATTTTTTAAAGACCAGTCATCTAGACTGTTCAACGCATCTTGCAGACGTGGAACAGAATGTGCTGGATCCCTATCTGTGCACCATATCGCACAATCATCTGCAAACAATGAGTGTTGGATGTCTGGAGATATTTGGTCAAAAATATCATTGATCATAACGTTGAAAAGTAAAGGAGATAAGCAGCTGCCTTGTGGTAAGCCATTTTCGAACGAAAAAGTGTTGGACAAAATTGACCGAAAGCGTACTTGAAATCCGCGGTCACCAGTCAAAAAGCCCACCAAATATTGCGCAAGGTGTCCACGTATGCCGATTTTGTGGAGTTTGCAAAGCAAGGTGAGTCGGTGAACCATGTCATACGCGCGGGTAATATCCAGGAAGACAGCAGAGGTATGTTTTTTAAATTTAAATCCCTTCCGTATATCTGTTTCTAACCGAATGATGTGATCTAGGGTACTGTGATGTTTTCTGAATCCACTTTGATATTTGGAGAGAAGTTGATTGTTTTCCAAAAACCATTCCAAGCGTTTTTTGACCATCCGTTCAAATATCTTGCCAAAGCAACTAGTGAGAGAAATGGGACGATAATTTGCCGGGTCTTGTCGATTTTTTCCTGGTTTTGGCAAAGCAATGATGATAGCCTCCTTCCATGCGTCAGGAAAAACTTGCTTTACCCATAATTCGTTAAATGTGCATAAAATAAACTGCAGAGTGCTGCTCAGAAGATGTCGGAAAAACTGATAATGCAATTGATCGGGTCCAACTGATGTATTTCCGGTCGAGTCAATTGCATTTTGGAGTTCTGACATCGTAAACAAAGTGTTATATTCTTCATTGTTTTCTGATCTAAATCCATTTCCTGGCAGACGAGAATGTTGCTGAGCATATTCAATAAATCCAGCCCGATAATGCCGTGAAGCACTACATCGAGCTAATGTGTGGGCGATCGTATCAACTACTTCTTGCGGTTGCGTTATATTTGTATTGTTAACGTGTAAGACTGGAAGGGAATGAAAACTTCTTTTGCCTGATAATGAACGAACTAAATTCCACACCTTACTTAATGGAGTTTGATAATTGAGCTGAGCGAGGAAGGACCTCCAAGAAGCTTTCTTTGCCTCTCTGATTATTTTCCTACACCTAGCTCTTTCTTGGTTGCGAAGGAGAAGAGTGGTATTGTTTCTATGTCGTAAGTATAAACGAAAAGCTCGTTTGCGTTTTGCTATAGCCTGAGCCACATTTTGGGACCACCATGGGACTCGTTTGTGTTTTGTTGAATATGTTGTCTTTGGGATGGCTTCTTCAGCTGCTGTCAAAATGGTGTCAGTAAGGAAATTGATTCCTTGTTCTGGAGATTGAAATTGGTCGTTATCAATGTTACAAAAAGCTTCAAACTTAACCCAGTCTGCTTTTTTTAGGTTCCAGCGAGGAACAAAAGCAGATGATGCATCGGCCTCCGAATGGAAGGTCGTCTGCAGTTTAATCGGATAGTGGTCACTATGATGAATGTCACCATCCACCTGCCAATCAAAGAAAGTTGCTATTTGTGGAGAGCAAATAGAGAGATCAATGGCCGATTCACTATTGTGTGCGAGAGAAAAGTGAGTATTATCTCCCTTATTTAGAAGAACAAGCTGATGGAAATCCAGAAACCGCTCAACTACTTCGCCGCGCTCATCGGGAACTCGAATGTTGCGACCCCACATTGGATTGTGGGCGTTGAAGTCTCCGAGCAAGAGAAACGGATGCTGAAACTGTGCTATGATTTGGTTAAGATGCCTTTCTAGTGTATGATTATCTGTGTTCGGAGGAATATAAATAGAACAAATATCTATATTGCGACCGTTCAAACGAACTGTACAAGCGACTGCTTGTAACTGTGTATTGAGGGGTATTTGCTGATGAACTAAATCATTATTGATGTAGAGTGCAGTACCGCCATGGCGTCTCTCGCCATCTGTCTCGTCATAGCGGTATAGAGAGTAGTTGAATAAAGAAAAGTTGTAGGGGTCTGTTGGAAGAAGCCAAGTTTCTTGCAAAGCAATAACGATGGGTGCTAGAAGTAAAAAGAACATTTTGCTTTCGGCCCAGTTCGAGACTAGGCCTCGGCAGTTCCACTGGAGTAGGCTGTTTATTGTTGTTCTAAGAGTGAGTATCTGTTTGTTGCAGCACGACGGGGCGAAGCCCAACTTGACGCACGGTTGTGGCCCATTGACACTCTGATAGGAGGACGTGACGTGCGAGCGCTTGACGACTGACTATCCTTTGATGGAGGCTGGGGTCGGGAATCTTTCGACCGCTGGACCCTCTTCCAGTCCGCAGTGGAGCGACCAGCTCCGGTGGAGGGCTTTGGCTGCTGACCGATCTCCTGTGAGACCTCGGGCTGTGAGTCGGGAGGGGAGGAAGGCATTGGGTCACCAAAAATGGTCTCAGTCGCACAGCTGGTGTTTGTGGATGTAGTCGTAGATGCAGTCAGGGGCTTCAGACATTGAAGAGGGGAGTGCTGAGATCGGGTCCGTCTGGGTACTGCAGGAAGTGGTCTGAGTAGTGGCGGCCTTGGCATAAGACCGACCAGGGGTCGGGGTGGCCGTCTCGGCCTCCACACGGCGGCGAGCGTCTGGGTAGGAGCATCCAGACTTCGCTTTCATCTCACAGATGCGCTTTTCCTTCTTCCACGTGGGGCACTGGGAGGACGAGACCGAGTGATCGGGGCTACCACAGCTGAGGCATGTGATGGGTTTGGAGCATGCAGAGTCCTCGTGGGGGGCTTCGCCACACTTCTGACAGCGGGCAGACTGACGGCACGTGGAACTTCCATGGCCAAATCTCTGACACTTGAAGCAGCGGAGTGGGTTAGGAATGAAAACTCGTACGTCTTTTTTGAGCCATCCGATCGAGATTTTTTCCGGCAAAGTGGTGGTCTCGAATGTGAGGACGAGCAAGCTGGTGTCTTTCCTCTGACCATCTCGGAACGTGGTCAGTCGACGGATGTGCGTCACTCCTTCACCTCGAAGTTCGGAGAGGATCTCATCCTCGGACATGTGGCGAAGCTCTGGGGCAAAGATCGTGCCTTTGGAGGAGTTTCGAGCCTGGTGGAGAGATACCGTCACCTGCTTGCCACAGAAAACCGTCGTCTTCAGGAGCGCCTTGGTGTCTCGTCGGTTGTGTGTTTTGATGATAAGTGTACCGTTTGCTGGGGCTTCAATATCGGGACCGTGCTGTCCACAGATAGCAGCGATCTGCTTCTGGGGCCAGAAAACGTTGATCTTACGGAAAGAAAAATCGCTATCGTGAGGCTTGACAACCAGAAACGAGCCATCGAGAGCCAAGTAGGGCTCGAGCGGAGAGCGGTCTACCAAGTCACAGGCAGGTGCGTTGGCCAAGTTCGGGCGAGGGTCAGAGCTCCGTGCGTGATCAGAGGACGGGCGGTGGTCATGGCTCCGGGCGAGGTCGGTAGACGAGCGAGGGTCAGAGTGCCGGGCGGGGTCAGAGGTCGGGTGTAGGTCAGAGGCCAGGGCGTGGTCAGTGGACGAGCGAGGGTCAGTACCGGGTAGATCAGTCAAGGGGCGGGCAGAGGAGGGAGGGTTGATGGTCGGGCGGGGATCGGTGTCCATGGCAGACGGAGGAGTCGGATTCAGAGGGGAGTCAGAGTCGGAATCGGAGAGGGAATCGGATAGCGGGCGCTGACGGCGCCGCTTCCCCATAGTGGGGCAAACTGGGTGTGGTAGATGGCAGAAGAGGGGCAGGGATTGGAACTGCTGGAAAAAACTTGGGAGAAAGGGGTACGGATGCGCGTAGGAGAAGCTCAAAACAAACCCGTGAAATGCCGGTCGCCGAGCGAACTAACGATCACCTTAGCCTGTGAATTTTCGGGCTTTTTGTTTGTTTTGTTGGGTTAGGCCCTTTCGGTCGACAAGACCATTGCAGAGCCGGAAGGATGATAGGAATTAGGGGGAGACATTGGTCTGGGCAGGCACCCTAGTGAGTCGCCGGGGCTGAGCCCGTCCAGAGGACAGGCCATCCAGCCCCAAGGCACTCACTGCACCCGGCTACGGGGTGCGCTCCCTCAGGAGCAGCGGTGCCGCTCCAAGGGAGCAGCCCGCATGAGATAAAGTTGCCTGTCCAGCCCGGAGGGGGGTTGCGGCGTGGAGGAGAAGGATTTCAGTATCCTGAGGATAGAAGCACGGATAGGTGTGAATTTTCGGGCACCGATTTTTCAAATATATCCTATATAGACCGAGGAGTTTCTTCCTCCAAGCAGACGTTTATTAGCTATGCTTCAGCTTGCACTTTATGTAATCAGCGCATATTGCTTTAGACAATTTATCATGTATCGACTCCCTTGGCTGTATTGTGCATTTTGACCTTTCTCAAAACACTTTGGCAAATTTTTACAAAAACGCAGCATAAAAGTCGGTGCTCGAAAAACGCCCTCTGTTATCCCCATCTGAAGTTAAGGTTCAGAGGTCGCTCACTGGTGGATGGCACGGTAGGTATATTTGTGTAAGGGTACACGTCTACCATATCCGACAACACATGATTTCGATACACTGATGCATTACATTCGTCCAGCGTGCTTGGCACGAGAAAAGTGTGTCATTATTCTGTTTTCTGTGTTATCAAACGTGTCGAAGGTCCCGCCAAGCGTGAAAATACACAGCCTTATTGTGTTTTGGGTGCGATTAACACATGACTGATGTGTTACCAGTACAGAACATGCCCTCACTGTGTCGATTTGTTTTCAGTGTGCTGCGGGGCCGTGTGGCCCGACCGAAGTGTCCCTATGGCGGGCACAGCCCCGACGGAGCACCATGGTGGCCGCCCAGACCGCAATGGCACCCCCAATGTCCATTATTTTTCGGCTTTGCGATGTCCTCGGTATGCCGAGAGGGCATAGCCCGGCAAACCAGCCCAGCCCGCCGCAGTTGACGGCGCGCCTGTCTCAGTGGGAGGGCGCCGCCGGCCGGCCGGCTCACCTGGTAAGTGGACGAGGCGGAGGCGTCGTACTGCCGGTGGCTGGTGCAGTACGGGTCCGAGCATCGCACAGAGTTGAGGCACGTCAGGCCGTCGATGGCGACAATGGCCGACATGGGCTGCCCGGGAGTGCCCACCTCGAGATCACCGACAAAAAACTGCTGGCCCTGAAACGGCACCACGGGCCAGTCAGTGCCGTCACCACCCCCGAGCCGCTCTTCATTACATTTGGTGAAGAGGGCAACGTTACTTCTGCAATGCTTTTTAGCTTTATGACAGGTGGGACCTTCAACGACAGTTCTCGCCTCTCATGTCTTTTTCTGAATTTGACAAGGCCCTCTCCTCTGTCCGTCCAAAAATATCCGAGCCTGTCATTTGTCAAAAGATATCCGAGCCGTGAGCGAAAATTTACACACAACAGTCAACATTGTTTTGTAAAAAGACGTTTTTTACAAAAAAAAAAGTTTTCCTGAAATAGCTTATGTCTCAGGAAACAGACGACACTGCTTATGCCAGCATCGTGTTCCTCTCGTCAAGATGCGTTTAATGAACGGTAGTTCGACATTAAAAGATCATTTTGAAAATTTGACAAATGATAAGACTGTGACTTGACCGGAAAGGGTCACGTTGCATATCAGTCGATCAATGTCGTCGAGCTGAACACATGCTGGTGCTGTTTCACCGCACGTCATAGCACGTTTGTATCAAAAGTTATAGTATAAAAATATCGGTGACCTTTCATGACATGGGATGACCTCGGGCACACAGAAAGGTCACGGGTGCACTTTTCCGATTCAGTGTGTTATGTTTACCTATGAACCTTTGAGTGTTTAGAACGACATTCGTCCAAAAGATGTGCATTTCAATTTTATCCAATGGTGCCGACCATAGGAATTAGGTACGTCATACGTTTTTTTTTTTGCCATTCTTGATACCCCTTTCCCTGTTCACTGAAGTTGAGCTAGCCCTTCGGGGCCAAGCGTACCGCCCACCCTGTTGTACGTATTAGCAGCGCTATCCATTTTCTTAGATAGCCATTAGAAGAGCTTCACATATGCGCACTTTCACCTGCAGCGGCAGCCTGATCTGGGTGAGTTCCTTCGCTCTAGAACAAAAATGTGCGTTTTTGAATTTCCCTTCTAATTTCAGTGGTACAAAAAAAATGTCATCATAGCTGCCATGTCTATATGCCTAACGTCTGTACTTCGGAACTGCATTTGTATGGGTGTAATTATGTCGTTAAGCAGCAATCGTTATTCGGCGCATGTTGTCTGCAATGCGTGATCAAAAAAGAAATTTGAAAATGGGATAAAGCGGACCGGAAGGCTTAGCATAATTCTGGATAAATGGGGCAAAGTGGACCACTTCCCACCAACACAGTGGTTCACTTTGCCCCGCGATTTTTTGAAATCAGAAACGTGTCTCGTTTTATTCACGGTCAAAATCCGTCACTTTATACCAGACGTAGACAAAAGTCATCAACAGGAAAGTTAGAGCTAATACGAGTACATGGACCTTTCTATTAGGCACATTTACTTGGGAATCCGTGCGGCCAATGAAGCGTAGGCTTAGGACATTTCTTAGCTACCCTGCCCATGGTTCCACACACTATTCTGTTACACTGTAACCGACCAACTGCTCAATTATAAATCACCGTCATATGTAAAGTAAAACTATCAGATAATCGACAAGTAGGCCGTCACATCATGCCCCTGGGCGGAACTCACGGCTTGGAAGACATCCCTGAGAGGCACATAGACGGTGCCCGGTGCCGCGTTCAGAGCGGCCGCGCAGCTCAGAGCCAACAGCAGACGCAACATCCTCCTGAAAACCAAACAGACAAACGCTCGGCTGCACTCAAATCCTGCAATGCTGTCTACTGGCAGGCATGTTCAACATAACCCGTGCATGACTGGGGTGTATTTTACAACCGAAGGCTTGTGTTCAGTAATTAGCCCAGCACCGCTTGGGGAGGGGTGGGTGCAAAATCTGCCCCTAACTCCTAACCCCTAACTTAAAATGTCTGTAAGTCCGAAAGTTTTCATTCTTGTTTGGGTCAGACCGCTTTAGGATGTTGACCTTAGGTCAAGGTTGGGTCAAAGCCACGCGAGTGATAAAACTGCTTGGAGGATGTCATACTGAATATCATTCGATGTGGCATTTCTTTTGCGGGCAATTGATGACTCAACCGGCGAAAAACTATTGCACCAAACGACCTTAGTCAGTGATGTCTTATATGACGTCATGCCAGGTCTGGAATGCACAATTGATGCCTCAGCGTTGCAAGAATCAGTAGCGGCGGAATACCTTCAATTAAAGGAAATAGTTCACTTTTTAACATGGGTTTTGAACTGGAATAGCAGTTCCGTAGCTTGGGCTGAGACGAGCATAAATCAGGAGCTTTTACAGCCCAACGATCACCCTAGGCAAAGATATTCTATTTCTCGTCCCGAAAAAGGTGTCTTGCGTTGAGGATGTGTGCCTTGCATATATTTCCATCCAGTATGAAAAGAGCATAGGTCCCGAAAATTCTTCAGAAACTAGAGAAATTACCTACGAGAACTTTAGAGAAATTCTCGTACTGATCAATTAGGACATTCTGGGGAACATTATCAGATCGAGCAGATCGCCCAAATGCCGGTGGCTGCGATAATTTCTCTGTTTCTGAAGAATTTTCGGGACCCATGCTCTTTTCATACTGGATCGCGTGTGCCTTACAGAAACTGAAAAGTTCTTCCTATATCAAAATATAGAAAAAAAATCTTTTGTTATAAAAAGGTTTTATTTTCTTTGCTGATTATTTTGAACATAAAAAATAATAAATCGTTGCAAAAAAAAAATAATTTCGTGAAAGTGAACTATTTCCTTTAAGGGGGGCACTGACGACTTTTGGTTCCATTCTTTCCATGCAATGCCCATAGGGCTAATGTTAAAATGCTAAAATTAAAGGGGGGCACGGTGCCCCGGTGCCCTCCCCGTTCCGCCGCCTATGGCAAGAATCATTATAAATCACGATTACCTATATTTGCTTGTTATAAGATTGGTGCATTTCACATATAAAACATGCCTGCCACCGTGTACGTCACTGCATGAGAATACCAACGTGAAAGGTATCAGAAATGATAACGTATTTATGAAGGTTCATGAACAATCAAGAAATGTTCGCGAACATGTGGCCTTGAATGAAGGAGTTCGTAAACTATCAAATAAAGAAATAAACAAACGTTGTTCACGAACATTTATGGAAACATCAAACCAACTCGAAAAAAAAAACTTATAGGCGTCTAGAAAATTGCGGAGTCTACAACACACACCAAGAATTCGCGGGGCTTGTTCGCTCGCAGCCCCGCTTTGGCGGAGTTCCTGCGTAGTCTAGTCATGTATCAGACTTACGTATGCACAGCGGTGTGTGGTCGACCTGTCAAACCCGACTGTGACCTCTCGGCTCTCGGACCGAGCTGTGACCTGTCGGAGGAGTGGAGACTTGGCGGCCCAGGACAGTTTTATAGGCCCTTCTCGGCACTTCCTACATTGATTGGCTCGTCTCCGACGCCCACACACTGATAAGTAAAGAAGTTTGCGGGAGCGCCTGCACATGTCGTGGGCGGGGGGGGGGGGGCGTGCAGCAATGCCCGGCACCTTGTGGGCCAGGTGTCCGAAGGTAGCCGCAGAAACGGAGGTGGGCCGGACATGGCGCATTGCTCTGAACTTGCCAGGTCACTGCTGAGGACAGCAATATGCGGTACGAAATGTGAAAAAAGATAATGGTAGTTACGTGTTGGAGATGAGCTACAGTACTTCTGAGCATGATTATATAACCCGAGCCCAACTGGGACTTTTTTATAACGCGCCCTTCTGGGGGGGGGGGGGGCTATTTATAGCTCACTTCCTAACTCCGAAACTACTGGGCCGATTGTCAAAATTCAAACGGCGTCTGATAGTCCTGGAAAAACTCGGGCGAATCCTAATTCCATTGACCTTGAAGTCACTGATGACGTCACAGGTCAGGTCAAAGTAAAAATTATCGACATTTTTGCCAGTTCAAATTTTGGGCACTGACCACCGGCTTACAAGTCCGATCAGGCTCATTTTTGGTTTACGCACTCCTTGACAGATGCTCTAGATACCCTGAGGGCAACAAACTTTTACTTCGAATTTTTCAGGTCAAGGTCAGGTCATCCTAGGTCACGAAAATTGTATATCACGTATCGATCACGTGACGCATGTTTTATGGTCCATTTTACTCGTAGATTTCGAAAATAGTGTCGTCTGTGTCATTTAAGGCTATTTTCAGCTGAATGTACCGGAGGTCAGGTCACTTTGTGACCGGCGGCTCCTCCGATCCCCTCCCGCTGACCCATGGCGTGGCCCAGGGGTCCATCCTCGGCCCAATCCTCTTCCTCATCCTCATCAACGACCTTCCCTGTTTCCTCACCCATGGCCGACTCCTCTCCTACGCAGACGACACCCAACTCCTCGACCACTCACTTCCAACAACCCCAGACCTCTCTCAGCTCAGATGTCGTGTCGAGCAGTCAATCTTCGATCTCCAGCTGTGGTTCCAGGCCAACAGTCTAAAAATGAACCAAAACAAAACCTTTATCACTCTCATCGGAACCCAGCAAACTCTAAAAAAGACCGAGTCATTCTACGTCTCACTCTCCGGTAACGACATTCGGCCAAGTCAGACCGTCAAAATTTTGGGTGTGCTGCTCGACCGACACCTGACGTGGGATCCCCACATAACCATGGTTGTGCGTCGCTGCAACTCCATCCTCGCATCCCTCCACAAAATCCGGCACCACCTCACACCTGACGTCCTTAAACTCCTAGTCCAAGCCCACGTGTTCCCACACATTCAGTATTGCCTGTCCGTCTGGGGAGGAGCCGCCAAGTGTCAAATGCAGCGCGTCCAAAAGACGATGAACTTCGCCGCCAGACTTGTGACCGGGACGCAACGGTCCGAGCATATATCGCCGGCGTTGGAGTCGCTTGGTTGGGAGAGGATGAATGTGATGCTGCGCCGCCATGATCATGTTCACGTCCAGAGAGCCCTGTATAATGACCAATGTCCCCCAGCGATGTCGGCCATGTTCACCCGCCGGGCCGAAGTGTCGTCACGTGACACCCGCGCGGTAGCAGCCGGGAAGTTGCAGCTCCCGAAGTGGCGGCTCGCAAGAACTCAGCGGGAGTTTGCATATACAGGGTGTCCCATAAGTTCGTTCTCACATTATATTTGCTTGTGAAACAGAGTACATTGCGTTTTGATATATTTGTGACCCCTCAATGTGCTCCCCATTTAATAGGCAAACACATGAACACATGCTGCGGCATGCCAACCGGCATGTTTGGCTGCATAGCAGGCTTAAAGTTAACCCAGACTGACTTGACATGCGCCGTGAGCTCCTCGAGGCTGGAACAGCGCTACGCTTCGACGAGCCTAATTTTCAGCATAACCAACAAATTTTTATGAAATTTTGATCCGATGAGGTGCCTGGCATGTGGTCTTGCCACAAACGCCTGTCACAGTCTCCTTGCACCGCTTTTAAGCTTTGCTTGACCTGTGCACTGATGCACTGTTTTGCCTGAAGATGGGCCTACGACCTCTCGGATGCCATTTTCTCCTCTATAAATGTGTTCATACTCGCGGTTCGAGTTCAGCTTGAGGGTTGAAACTCCTCCTAGATATTCTTGGGAAAGTATTATGCTTCCCAAAGCTGTTTCTGGGACACCAATCGCAACCTGGTCAGCGTCTGGACGCCTATAACCCCACAATACCGTGACCTTGGCCTTTCGCATAGGAACATAACGGGACGAAACGGAGGCCTCCTCCTTCGCCCTTATGGGGTTGTTTTCGGGTTTGGACGGGTGTTTCGTCTCGAACGTGGACTAGTTAGTCCAGATGACCTGGTTGATGTCCTCAGCCGTTTAGTGTTTTTAGCCTCAGGCATAACGAAACTCATGTTTGGCCATTTTAAGACGTTTTTGACTGTTTTGAGCCCTCCGCCGTAAGCAAAGCTTAAGTCACCTTGAGTTATGTACCCCGAAAGAACACTCTTAGACAGCTGGTAATCCATTCTGAATAGTCTGCTTACCAACTTTCTAACCCTTTGACCTTTTTGATGGCCACTTTGGCGCCACACAGTTTTGGCCACATGGCTCACTCCTGAGCGCTGACAAAAAAGAGGATAAACTTGCAATAATTGACTCCCGACAAATCATCGGTGTCACTTGCTGACTGTGCGTCCAGTTAGCGATGGACATTGTCTACAGACTGGTAGGCCTCAATCACCCTCAATCGTCGCGAATGGTCACGTGCTGACTAAATACTGAGACGTACCCGTATTGGAGACCTCTATGTTGCGGCGTTAGTCGTCTGTGTAGGAAACGGGCTCTCTAGCAAAAACTATTTTGTCTACAGAAATTAGTTACTGTGGAGCAAATTTCTACCAGCCATGGCAACCACGTAAGCTCAGTAACGAACCAATTTCAGCGTGCCTTTAAGCAAGAGAGCCTAAAAACGTAAAATTTAGGTGAGAACGAACTTATGGGACACCCTGTAGAGCGGCAGCATCGTGGAATGCGAAGGACACCGCCACAGGCACCTGATTTTAGAATGTCAACCTGCTGATGTCAACTTCCTACATGCGGATGATGCGTTCGCGAGTGTTTTAATGTAATCGTCGATGTGTTTTAACGTAGCTTTTGCCATTGTATCAGTATCATATATTTTTAACTGGGTCTCATTTAGCTCTTATGTCACCATGTCACATTCCTGACCGGATTCTTAATACCCACCCCGTGGAAGAATTCTAATAAATGACTTTGACTTTGACTTTGACTTTCAGTTCAGAAAAGGTCAAATTTTGAAAATGAAACTTTTCCACAAAAAGGTGCCTGCCAGATGCAGTTTTAGCTCAGGAACACGATGGTGCCATTTATATTGCTGTACGACGTCAACAACGTACTGAAAAATGGATTTGAAAAATATGTAATTGTAAAATTTTGACAATAATGCAAACAACATGGCTATTTTATTGGACTGAAAATTGCTAGCGTAGTTAATCAGAGTGCATTTCATCACATATATTCCGGTTAAACGATTTTTTTAAGTCAAATTTTTTTTTGTAATTGTAAGAACATATTTTCAAAATTTTCGAAATTTTGTAAATTCGAGATTGCAGTTTGATAGCTACGTGTATTCATAGGCGCGGGAGCCGGGGGGGCAGTGGGGGCAGCTTGCCCCCCCAACTCTGGGGCCGTGGGGGCGGTGCCCCCACAGCTTTGAGACGGAATACCACACTTTTTTTGCAAATGTTTTCTTTTTTTTTGAAAAAGCAGAGGGGTGAAAAATAAGTGGCCTAAAACCGGTGAGAAAACCAGATTTGGGGGTACCCTAGGTTGATCTCTATTATGGTGTGCCCCCCCCCCCCCAGTTGGAAAGTAGTTCCCGCGCCACTGCGTGTATTGGTAGTCCACTCACGTAAAGAAAATGGATGTAGCTTTAAAACTTAGCTCTTGAGAGCGTTTGCCGTATTCCAATATTTTGCATCAAAATCGGCCGACATGACGTCACTCTGACGTCATTTTCGGCCAAACTTTAGTAGCTAGAAAGTTTAAATTTTAACACAAGGTTTCACATTAATGCCGCTGAGGGTACTGCAAGTTTTGTGCTGATCCGTCAAATTGTTCAGAAGATATTGCTGAAAAACGGGAGGGGGGCTCTGTAGAGCCCCCCCCCCGTCATGCGCGGGCTAAGAATATATCTATGTCATCAACATTCGACATGTATGTATTGGTATTGGATGTTTAATAAAATAAGGTTCAGTGTGTTTCTTAGTAGCTATCAGCTAGTGTTGCACTAATTGCTTATATGCTTGCTTTGTCAAGTTATCAGACAATATCATCTGGTAAACATTGAAACAATTTCATAAAATGAAGATATTTGCTGTAAAAGAGGTTAGGAGTATATTTGGTCAAATTAGGTGCATTTGCCGGGTAGCCCGTCTTGAAAACGGCATTAGGCCTATTAACCCGCGCGGGGCTGGGGTCTCCAGCCGAACGCGCGGGGCTGGGGGGGGGGGTAAATTTTACCCCCCTGTTATCTCCCGAACTAATGGTCCGATTTGGAAAATTCAAACGCCAATCGAAAGATCTCATCACGAACAACTAAAAACAAGTACTTAATTTTAAGTTTGAGGTCAAGGTCAAGGTCAGGTTAAGGGTACAAATTGCAAGTTCCTACAGTATCGGCCTTGCACCGTAGTTGCCGAAGAATGGAGTCATGGACTGAGACTGATCGCCCAAAACGTGTTCTTAGGCTACCAAGACAATATTCGTTGCATAAAATATCATTCAGAGGTCAAGGTCAAGGTCAGGTCAGGTCAGGTCAGTTCACCAAAAACAAAATATAGAAAAGGGCATGTGCGACACATGTTTTATGGGTAATTTTAATCATAGAATTCAATAGGCACACTCAATAAGTGATATGGACCACCTCTGGATGAATTTCAGGTCGAGGTCAGGTCAAGGTCAGGTCAAGTGAGGTCAAATTTTGAGGTTGGTTGTT